GTTACCCCTTTGAACACTACCCACTAGAAAACCTAAGATCAAAGTTTACTTACAAATTTCAGTAGATTCCAGTCAAATACATAATCATAGGTATAGCCCTGCCGATGGAAGAGATTACGGAATAACTGACGCAGGTGTGAATAATCAGGTTTGTCGTCAAATCGAAGTGAGCGGCATGTATTCAAGTATGTTGCAAACTCAGCTGTAAACAAAAGACAATAATCTAGGGTTAACAAAACAATAACGTGAAAAAAGATGTAATTTATGTAAATGAAGAATATTCTACATACTAAACCATAAGAACAGTTTCATGCAGCAAAGTTTAATAAGCTCACGAGAAGACTGCGTAGCCAGGCGTTCCTAGCTGATAGCTGACTACGCAGGCTACTTGATAGTTGATGAGGGAGTTTTTCGTTCTGGGTTGTCATACATGATTTGTAATAGTTGATGACTGGATGTATTTGATTACATTAGGAGCCTCATTTAGATGCTATACAAACTTGTAAAGGGACTGAACTAGAACTCAAAAAATATTCTAAATTTATGTGTTTTGAAGGGATGTTTCTTCATTATATGAATATTATGTGGATTTTGTTTTTACTTAAATTATAGTAATTTTGAAAGCATAAACATTACAGCTTTAATTATTGAAGCATCCAAAATATCCCAAATTACATTCAGAAACAAGTTGTAATATAGTGCCTTGAGCAACTTTGCAAGGCACTGCCCACAAATATAGATACTATTTGCTGGATTATTGTAGAGACGGTTTCTTGTTATGCAAGCCTACACCAGGTAATTCCAAAGTGCTTGATGAATAAATACAATTACGTACTGGGAAATCCTTTGCATAGTACTTCAATGGGTGTTGACATTTTCTTTTCACTAATTCGTTCATATTTCTGTCGTTTTGTTGCAGCTTTAAGGCCTTGCCAAGGTAAACTACCAAGGTTGAAGTACATCAGAACATAYCCCAGGGACTCCAGGTCATCTCTTCTGCTTTGCTCTAAAATAGAAAACAAGGGAAATAAGCAATAAGTTCAGTTATTTCATTAATAATACACAGCTAGACAATTCTTGCATCTACATCCACCATCTCTTTCTATACATTCCTTACAACTAGGTCCCCTTGAACTAATTGTGCAGACTTATTACCTTATTGACATAACCCTTAGAATCATTACATAACACTTAGCAAATCCAATGAATCAAACTAGGTAAAAATGGTGAAACAAAAAGCAGTAAAAACTGCCATCCAATCCTGAAGTGCTGCCAAGACTTTGTCATTCATAGCAGTGAAAGCTCACCTATTCCTAGATGGGTGTTTATACTGGCATATCTTGCAGTTCCTGTTAGATTCTTATTTTCTCTATATGGAATGTGCTGGTGGGTCTTGGGATCCCTGTACTTCTTAGCAAGCCCAAAGTCAATGATGTACACCAAGTTGCCTTTCTTAGCAAGACCCATTAGAAAATTATCTGGTTTAATGTCTCTATGGATGAAGTTTTTGCTGTGGACGTACTCAATGCGGCTTATCTGCAATGCAAAACATTATTTGATAATAATGCCTGGGACTGAGAAATACAGTCATTTGTAACAACTCTGACATATCAGGTACATCATGGATAATATTTAACACTTATTTACTTGAACCGAGGGAAACAGTATGCTTTGTGGTCCAGAGACCGCTGATGTTACATATACTATAAAAACATACTGTTTCCCGAGGTTTCAAGTAAATAAGTGCTTTATCATCATATCAAGTGTCAAAGAGAGCAAAACAAGTAAATAAATTTGGTGTTTTTATTAAAGATTTTGATAAAATAACTGAAAAATGGCAATACAAATAGTCAAATGTGACTAAAATCAATCAATGCAATAACACAATAAATACTTTAACTAGGAAGAGCGAACACAACTTAAAGTCTGGTGAAATCTAACTGTAACCCAGTGTGACTACTGCCAGTCAATAACACTTGATGGAGAGTACTTACTGTTTGGTCAGCTAACAATAAGACAGTTTTTATACTGAACTTCCGATTACAGAAATTGAAAAGATCTTCTAAACTAGGTCCCAGTAAATCCATAACTAACACATTGTAATCTCCTTCAGTACCACACCATTTTATGGTAGGAATACCAACTGAAATACAAACATATCACTAGTCACTCAAAAAATACCATCACTAAAATTGTTACATGAATTCTGATCATGCACCTTAATGATCCCAATTGTAGTCAGGATTCTACCCGTTGATCAAATTATATCTTATCATAAATCAAGAATTCTGATTGGCTACTGAACAAAAGTCTACTCATGATAGACAATGATTGTATGGAACCAAAATGAATACAAAATTATATAAATCAAAAAAATAATGAGAAACATTGTTCTATATGGTTTTTTTTTCACATTTTCTGTATAGTTTGGTGGATACTAAAACAGTACAGCCTCATGGACTATCAACTTGTCGTTCACAAGACCCAGTGGTCTAATTGCAGGACTCAAAATAATGGCCAGTCAAAGGACAATGTAAACAGTATTTGTTCTTTCAAAATTCATCATGACCTTCCAAAAATAAATTTGGAAGGACATCTTGCCCTGCACATGTCTGGCTATTATTTAGATCCCTGAATTGTTAATTATATAATATTTGGTACATGTATATTATATGATCTTGGATTGGTTGAAAACTGTGAGTGATTACAGCACACATGATGTCATTCAATCTTATGTGCACTTTTAACTGGTCAGAACCAATAATCATTGTTTTTTGTCTTTGTATTCAACTGTTTCAGTGAAATTGTATGCACAATTTAATTATATTAGAGAAAAAAAATATGTGATACAGACACACAAAAAATGGAATCTATTGATTTACAACCAAACTTTTTCACAAATAATTGTATGCCTTATGAGTGATAATGTCAAAATGATCCTAAGTACTCACTAGCTGTTTATACAGCGCTTCCAAAACTGTTGCCATACAAATACTAGCACAGTTCTTAACATTCTATTATTTGCTAATTTGCACTACTTCGTTATTTATATTATCAGAGTTTCTATGTTTACACACTGAAATATTTGATTCCCCAACAAAAAAATTAACATAAACATTACATGCAAATTTTGGATGCATTGCACAGATTAGAACATCGTCATGAACGAAAAACAAAAATTGACATATTTTCTAATAATGCGTTTTCATAAGGCATATATATAGGAATTACGTGGGGTCTGTCACAATGTTTTCTCTAAACAATATTAGGCATTAATTGACAAAATGTTTTTACATTTCAACGATCAAATAAAAACACATACACACACACTGCTTTGTTATTTGAGCTGCGAACTTGGGATATTACCTAAAACATTAATTATTTCAAAGGTTTTTATGTCATTACCACAAGCATTCGTGGTATGGTGAAAACAGCGACCAAATTCAATAAATTACAGACCCACTCCTGAGCTCTAAAATATAACAGCCTTCCTTGATTCATGTACATACATGTAGCTTCATTCAAAATTTTGTTATCAAAGGTATGATTTCTGCTTTATAGTTCAAAGTCCTCTCGATAGTAATATGCTTTAAACAAACGGTTTTGTTTGTTTGTGTTAGTCGGTTTTTACCGTCAAGCGAATCACATATAAAAACTGCGAATCATATGTGCACATACATTTTTAACGACGATATATACATGTCTATGCGTTCTTAATAAATGCTTGAGTATTCGTCGATTTACAAGAAAACGTTTTCTTTAGTTAAGCCATAGTTCACTAGTTTGAGGCTGAATGATTCCTCATTAATGTCGGGAATATTTTCTCTTGTTCTCAATCAAACTAAAACGATCTAATACCTTACCTCCTCCTTGCATCATCTTGTAAAACTTGGCTTCGATGTGAAGCTGTGGGTGCTTGGATTTTACACATTCTAGTTTAATGGCAACCTCCTCCCCCGTAGATATATTAGTTCCTAGAGGGAAAAAATAGCCCCAAAACTATGAGATATAAAAACTGTCTGTCAAATGTTGTCGTTTGTTGTCATGAACAATCCTTCACGCACAACTAACCATTGCTTACCTAGATAGATATCTCCAAATGATCCACTACCAATTTTCCTGCCAAGGCGGTACTTATTGCCAACTCGAAGTTCCATTTTCCTTTAAGAATATTAACCTTCAATTAAATTATAAGAGTGCTTTGCTTGATGGCGACCCAACTGTGGCCAGTGTGTTTCATGAAGCTTCGTTTACGATTTGATTTCCTCCAGAATTTACACTAAATCATCGGTCAGACTGGCCTTAATATTTACATGAATTAAACAGGAATAGTCATGGTAAATAGTAATATTTCTCAACGAAGAGATGGAGAAGATTGGAAAGGATTCTTGCTCAACACTTCACCATTTTGTTTTGTTTTATTTTGGCATCCGTCTTCGGCAGAAAAATTAGCCAGTCCAAATATGGGTATCAACAGGATGTACGAAATCAAACCGAGCCCTTCCGACTTACCAGTCGGAAATCATTCGGCACATACGAATAGTAGACTTGACGAAAGAGGGTCGTAGTATTTACCGTATTTAAAGTAGGGAATTGTCATTTGTTCGTGATTTTGTGATTGCTTGTCAAAGATACCTTGGAAAGAAGTCCCACGCGTCTACATGAATTTGTCCTGCACCTCCAAACAGGCTGAAAAATCAACTCAATCAAGTTATCGTACTGGTTAGTGTTGAGTCTGTTGAGGCAAGTCTGAGACTATAAAAGTCATAAAATCCTGAGAAAGTGTAGACTACAGTCTTATAGAAATTTCACAGTTTTATGAAAATTACCAGACCCTTAGGTCTACTCTGCGAACAGAGCTACTTTTCTCACCTGCCGAGAAGCATACGAGAGAAAAGTAGCTCTGTTCGCAGAGTATAAAAGGGCCTAAAGTCCAAAATGAGACAGGTAGCCCAGATAGATAGATATATTCTAAGGATTCTGCGATATTTAGTATATTGACGCATCCTGACATTTTGTTTTTACAGCCGTTCGTGTGTCATTTCAAACCAGACATGTGTGAATGATTTATTCTAGTCGTACGTCTGGTAATTTCTCCCTAATTTTATACCAGTAGCCATTGCAGGTTCCTTTGCAGATGAAAAAGAAGAACGAATCAACAACGAAGAATGCTAAATTGTTAGGCAACTCATTTATCAAGTTATGACAGATATTTGACGTGAAAAATTAGTATGATATATTGTGTTTTGTTGAAGACTACTAATCAAGCTAGGCGCCGATAAGCCGGTTCTGTTTTTCATCTGCAACTTTCTTCATTTTGACTGTTAAAAAATACAGGTAGTGTATAGTGGCATGGAATCCTGTTTCCCAAAACTCTCACTTCTCTTAAAATCCAAATAAAAAATAATACAAAAATTGTTTTCAGAGAGATGAATAAAAAACCCAGTAATTCGTCAGTTTCAATATATATACGACACGAAATTTAGTCAAGGAAAAGCGCTGTTCTGGAGAAGCTTAAGGCTGATTTCGAAAAAATACAATGTTTATTGATTAAATTCAGCGGTTAACTATGTAAGCATAGTGTCAGTTGGGATGCTAATGAGCTTTCGGGATTTTGTGTTTTGGTCACCACTTGTTTAGTAAATTTATACCAATTTTTTTAATGGGGTTTTTAGCTATGATGTGATTTTGACAAGTAAATCCTTCTCGATATTGGTTTGTTTCAACGTTCTTTAAAAACACTGACTGTGGGCTGCTTTTTTATCAAGCAAAGAAATCTCTAATCGGAAATAGTGAGTGATAAAACAATAACTTTAGCAATCAAGTATTTCGCAGGGGATGTCACCTCACAGACACAAAAATGATGACATCACGTGGTTCCGTTTAATTTCATTGAAAAACAGAGTCGCAAAAAACAGCCTGTTGTTCCTTCTTAATTTATTCGTATATCTCAAAATCAGAAATAGAGGCGAGTCACTTGATTAGCTTTATGGATTTACTGCATTTTTCTTTTAAAACCATAAGTTTCATAGATTGGAGTGTTTCGTGTCAGCCTGAGGAAAACTTGTATGACGTCAGAAGAATGAAAAAGAGACAATCTATCAAGCATGAGTTACCAGCTGTTGCCAGTTCGCCCTCGATTGATTCTATAATAAACTGTTTGCTGTATGTAGGCTTTTCTCCAATGACATGGTAACAAATGAACACTATGCATGAGATTACAGCATTTGTTGTTTTCAATGAATTGATGTAAAAATTGTTTCAGCCAATAGCACTTGTATAGGGAAACATCTGCAATACAAGTGGCTTTTTGTGTCAAGAAAGAACAAATAAACGAGACCGGATAGGGACTAAAATATCACCATATCGATGCCTTTATCAACTGAGTAAGCCGGTTAGAACTGAGGTCTCTATACACAGTCATCCAAACAAACCAAGCATCAAACGAATGAATGCAATGGCACACGTTAAATTACTCGTGTCCTAACCACTACCAAGAGATACGAACCAACGATTAGATTAAAGAGACGGCGCTGACTTAAATTGGAGAACGATTAGACTTCAATGGGGTTTTTCCTCAATGGTCTAAAATTCATCTATAGAGAATCTCAGAGGGGTGTACAACCAGCTTACAAATTGTACATGGTTGATGAGCCAACGCGATAACACCATCATACAGCAATTTAGCGTCAGAACTCGAAAGAGAAATCGTCGTAACCAGTCATGACAAATAATACGACATTAAATGTAGATCCTAATACATCCAATGACTGGGATTATCTCAGGACTATCCAAGTAGTGTTTCTGACGTTGTTTCTAGTTACAGGAATTCCTGGTAACTCGGTGATTTGCTTGCTAGTTTATCGTAGCCCTCGCCTTCGTACTGTTACCATGGTTACCAATATGATCGTGGGGAATTTAGCTGTCGCTGATTTAGCTGTGTGTCTATTGAGAATTCCCGTTTCGCTGGCGACTATAGTGAAAAACCGTTGGATAGGAAATCAAAACCTTTGTAGTGCCGTTGGTTTTGTCAATTCACTTCTACTGTTCGAGGTTTTGTATTCACTTGCCTTGGTTAGTGTCAGCAGATACTGCTGTGTCGTGTCACCATCTAAATTCTCCGCCATTTTTACCAGAAAGAGAACATATGGGATTATTGCTGGTACGTGGATTGTGTCTACATTCTGGGCTGCTCCACCGCTATTTGGCTGGGGTTTCTTTCATTTTGATTTCGGCAAAGCGACTTGTGTGATTGCCGTCAAACAGAGCATATCATACACTATAGTGCTGACTTTACTGCAATTCACTATACCTTTTCTTCTAATCACAGTTCCTTACTTTAAGATATTTCGGTTTCTACGCACTCACAATCGCCGCCTTAGCGCCAATAGCATCACATCGAGCTTTAGACGACAAAGCAGAACTTCTCTGTTCCATGATTTCAAAATGACTAAACTACTACTGATAGTGGTATGTTTCTTTGTTGCATGCTGGGCACCATACACTATTGTCAATCTCATTGCAGGGTTTGGCATAATTCCTTATATACCACTAGCATTAGATTGTACTTGTAACCTTCTAACGTTTCTCTCGAGCTCTTTTAATCCATTTATATATGGTTCTCTAAATAATCAATTCCGCAAAGGATTTCGCGATATTCTGTGCGCGTCTTGTAGGAAATACCAGCGAGCTAAACAAGACGCTTTATTTGGCGTACGTACGAAATCAAGTCTGTCGACAGTAAGAGGAAGAAGTCATTTTGAAAAGCGAAATGAAAGACATGCAAAAAGACATTCAAGGAAAACCACCAACTATTTCCACACTGGAAAGAATGTGCTTTACGAAACGAGTGTTTAAACTTAGATTAGATGTAACGCACGGAGCGGGCATAAATTCATCTAAATTCATAGTTCTCATAAGTAATGAAACACAATAAAAAGGATGCATTTAAATTTTTTGTTGTTTTCATTTATGTAGCAAACTCCCCCCACGCAAGGGTACTAATGAGAGTCTTACTAGGATGGCTAGCAAACCAGTATATGACAGACAAATATAAACAGAAAAGCCATTGGTAAAATTGATCATGAATTGCTGATAACAATAATCACAATGCAAATTCTCTGTCAAAGGCAATCAATTATCTTTCTGTACCAATCATATAAGCAAAGTGCCCATCAAAAGGAGATGGATTAATCTTGTAGCACTTTACTAGCAATGTCGTAGACCTCCCATGACAAGAGGGCAGTAAAAATAAGATTTACCAACTCAAACACCAATCCCAAAACCATCACGACTAAATAAGAATCCTCATTCTGTTCATTAATTCTTCTTTGGATAAACGTTTTGAGCTTTTCTAGTAGTCTCCCGATTATAGTGTTCAATACAAACGCCATTACGATCACTACACCGATAAAAACATACCGCTGGGCACGCGGACCGTAGTAAGTTCTCTGGCCATCATTTTGTGTATCTATGAAATATGACGCTAATATGTCCATTTGTGAGTTAACTCTTCGGTAAAGTGTTCTTCTATGAGAGTCTGTTAAATGTAAATCTTCTACGACTTTCAAATGTAGAACCATGGTCCTGTTATCATATCATAGCCGGCGATTCGTGGACGACAATTGACCGCATTTCTCGCTTAAATGTAGAATTAATCTTCTTTAGAGCAACTATTGCCTTCGATTTAGTAGTCAAACGTCTCTCCAGAGGTAATTGAAAGTCTTTTCTGGTGATAAACAGCTATATTCAAATGTTCGTTTGCCCTCTAGTTGAGGATATCTGTCAGGCGTTCCTAGCGCTCGACTGTGGAAAACTAGTAGCTAATGTCGGGCTCAGCTTATATCTCTGTGCACAAGGATTGTAAAAATATACTTTTTTCTTCACGATAGGGAAATCATGTCTTTGACAGTTTTTACGACAGAGTTTTTTTCCTATTGACACTGTTGATATTTAACATTACTATTTAACAGTTTTCTGCAAAATTTTCCGAAGACAACAGTGTCGGGAATAAATTAAAAGAAAGAAAACATTCTTTATTGCTTTATTAATCATAATGAAGTCGTATCATTAAAACCTCAAAAAGGAAAAAAAAAAGAAAACAAAAAAAAGGAATCGTGCACTGGCCGGGAATCGAACCCGGGCCTCCCGCGTGGCAGGCGAGAATTCTACCACTGAACCACCAGTGCATCTGATAGTTAAWGRRAAAACCTTATATTATTTATTCCGATATAATTCACAAGATGTACAAGCAAACCGCATTTCRTAAGGAGCGCGGTCGCTAATTCATTTTCTCTCCATATTTTTGTAAAAAGTTTTGAATGGCTGAAAGGAAATATGTTTTGACTTCTTAACGATTATAGCTCATCAAAATGCTTCAAAACTACGGACGAGTGACACAAGCTTTGCTAGGAACTCTTTTTACATGGGCTGTAACGGCGGCCGGCTCTGGACTTGTGTTTTTGTTCAATAGTGGGCAGGTAAGCTTACGTGTTTCGGTGATCTTGTGGGGCTCCATTTTTCTTTTGAATCTCTGGAAAGTGTGTAATTTCTTGGTTTTTTTTTTAGCGAAAAGTGCTCGATGGAAGTTTAGGCTTTGCTGCTGGGGTTAGTAAGTTATTGCGATGCTTGATTGTATTTAATTGTTTAGCCTTACATAACATCTTAAGTAAGGGCTACGTGGACCAGGTCGTTGCTTTGATTGGTGCAACGTGGACCATTTAGCTTATTTGTATTCTGAATCTATAGAAAATAGCTTATGTTTGTAAATAAGTAACACTTAAATTTGCTATTTATTGTGTATATTGCTAATTGCATCTATATTGATATTTGAAAATGATGAAGATGATAATGATATTTATAAGCTTAATTAGACTGATAATTCTCATTTCTTTAATTTGTTCAGGTCATGCTTGCAGCTTCCTATTGGTCACTCTTAAGTCCAGCTATTGAGTTAGCAGAGAAATCTCCTTTATATGGGAACAACGGTCAACTAGCCTTTTTACCAGTATCAATAGGTTTTGCCTTAGGTGCAGCATTTGTTTATGCAGCAGATGTCATTCTCCCATATTTGGTAGGTATAATAACAATATTCCATGTATTTCCCATGTCTTAATCACTGGTCTGATATTGCATGTGGTGACGTTTATCGGTAAGCAGTGCACTGTAACAACTACAATATCATGGAGCATTAATATTGCCTTTCTATTGCAAACAATCTCAATTACTCATGCARTGAGTCCCCATAATACAAATAAGTTAAATTATTAATAATTAATGGTTGCACATGTGCACAAATTATCACCTGCTGTTAAGTGGTTAAGATTAAAGTGCTTTCATATGTCAAATCATAGAACCAGATTACAGTAACTTACATAATGTATAACACAATGAACTCCAATTAGAATAATAAGTATTTATGATACTATTTCTCATGATAACTCTAATTATTATTAATAACTTAAATTAACAATTATAACTCTCATTTAAAGTAATATTATAATTATTGTAAGTCAAAGTGAGTAGTGTACTTTGCTGTGTACTCCATGTTAGTACCATTCCCACTTCATTGTATTAGCTTGATTTCTATAGCAAACTGTGTGCACAGCCTCGTCCAGAAATTGAATTATAATAGCAAACACTGGATTCCTTTGCAGATCTATTTTTGATAGAGTGCAATTTTGTTAAAAGTTTGTTATTAAGCTATAGAAATTWTAGAGCAGACTTAATTTAATTTTTCTATTTTGATTTCTTTTCAGGGTTTAGATAAGCCAAGTATAATTGACAACATAGAATCTGATAATACAAGCACATATGGAAAACAAACTAGAAATGAAGATATAGTGTTCAATAATTCAAGGCCAGGACATGGTACTGTAACTAAGAGAACTTTAACAAATCAACATGTCGATAGGAATATAGAAAAACAAGAGATATGTTATGATGACAACAAGGAGGATAAAAAACTGGCAAGTTGGAAAAGAATAGTTTTATTAATCATAGCAATTACAGTACACAACATACCAGGTATGCAATGGTTTAAAATGAGTTATACTCACTGATATCCACATTCAGTGAGTTGTATAGTGTCAATTAGTACATCTTGTGCTGATATTCACCTCTTTGGCCTAAGGCTAAAAAGCCAAGGCTACATATATGAGCGTTTTTTTGCTTGTGCAGGCGACACGATTTTCTCAAAATCACCACCACACTATTGGCTACACGAGCAATAAAAATCRATAAAAAATCCTCATAAATACTTATTTGAATCTCCATAAAGAGTTATYAGCGGGCTAGCTGTGCTAGCCAGCTATAGTTTTACCTTCGCACTCTGTCGCGTCGAAGTTTCCAGTCTCTCTCGAACCACAGGAAGCCATATCTATTAGTTTGCAGTCTCTCTCGAACTGAAAATTTTCTCAAGAATCCAAAATGGCGGGTACTTCGCCGATAACAGAGAAAAAAGTACTCAAAAACTATCAACAAGAAATACCAAAAGCTTTCTCATTGAAGAATTGAACTAGGATTTTGCATTTGTGAAGTTTCAAGCTTGCTAGTTATCATTTTAAGACGATTTTGCATCGAAAATAGTCTCGCCTTCCTCACCATTCCAGCTCGATGATTATTCAGTACAGCTTCAAAATGAAATCAGCTCAAATACTGGCTTTTTTACCACATTTATAGACAGCAAAAGGTATTCTTCTGTTTAATTGACAATGTTTTTATTGTTTAAATTCAAAGAAATTGCTATAATGTCATCGGGTTTTTTTATTAGTTAAAAATGACAAAGTACAAGTTTTGAAATTGAGCTTTGTTTTGCTTCAATTTTTAGATTTCTTTTGTACGAAAGAAAGGCTAATAAAAACAAAATTTAAAGAATGCACTCATGCCATCTAAAATGCATTGTTATGTAAATAATAATAGATGTGATATCGCTAACCAAGAAGTAAAGAGCTTCCATAAATATTTTTACAAAATACATTGCAAATGTAGGACAATCACTATAGCACAAAGATTATGGTTGATAGTTGATATAGCTTATGATAAGATTATAGCAGACAGTGAAGGTTAACGATAAGAATTGAACTGCAAAGAAAACTAAGGTATTCATCGGCATATTTTACTTTCATATATAGTTACGTCATAGTCACAATATTCATTGGAGATACAATTTTTATCTTGTATTGTCAATCTTTTGCTAAGCTAGCCCGCATCACGCTTTACAAAGCGTCTAGTATTGTACAAAAACAGCTCAAAATCGATGTTCAGCTGTCTTTGCACCTGAAAATCAAGTCGCCTRCACAAGCGAAAACATTCCTTGTGCAGCACTTTGTACTGATGCAGAAAACCCTTACCTAGCCATCTGCCTGCTCATGAGAAAAAAGTTTTGATTATAGACAAAACTTCATTATATTGAAATGATGCATATTGACTGAGTTTAGTTGGGCTATAAGGGGAATTATCCTGTATGACCAGCGTTTGTCCTGCTCACATTCATTAGAAAACCTTTGGAAAATKATATTGTAATGAAGTGAGGCTTCATACATGTCTAAGTAAAGTATGTGTTTCCAATACTTGAACACATAATTTGTTAGAATATGATGATAGAAATAAATGATCTTTGATCTATACCTTTGTAATATGCAGCAACATWACATCCAGATTGCCGATTAATCCATTGCTAAATATCTATTTGACATGGAGTTTTTGATCAGTTTTAAAGCTAAATACATACTCTAAGTACTTTATATTCTAATTGTTGTGCACAGAGGGTCTTGCTGTAGGTGTTGCTTTTGGTGCTATTGGCAAGACAGCTTCAGCAACATTTGATAATGCAAGGTATGAAAGGTGTATTTAAAACTATTAAAACAACCAATAAGATAACATGCAGACAATAAGACCATATTATCCAATCAAATCAYAGCATTTACATGATTATTGCYTATCAATTTGGAGTRTGAAAGGCTTATTCAAAGAAACCTGAGCATTTGAGATCAAGGATGTCATTTGTTACTAAGAGATACTGRTTTGTKGCCCTGGTTTCAATATGACCCACTTCTTAAAAACAGGCCAAGTGAAATCTACACATTATGCTTACCATAGATAAACAGAGTTATAAAAACTCAGGTACCAATTAATACTCTGCGAACAGAGCTACTTTAACCAAACATAATAAAACATTGTATTCAGGGCTCTAAGAGACCATCGTGGAGTACTGCCTGACATTACCACTCAAACATGCTACCCCTGCATCATCATCACAGTCTGTACCAAACTTCAAGAACTGAATGCCACTAATTCTAATGTTTTTCTTTGAATAGAAATCTTGCAATAGGTATTGGGATACAGAATTTCCCAGAAGGCTTAGCAGTTAGTTTACCCTTACGTGCATCAGGAATGGGTCTTTGGAAGAGTTTCTGGTAACAAGAATATTATTTACAATCCGGTTTTCGTTTGCTTATAACCTTAAGTAGAAATGATATGAAATTCAGTTTTGCTAACCGATATGTTCACAGTTTGATATGGTAATTTTTCTAATTAAAATATGAAAGCGACTATTTTTCGAGTTTTTGAAGGYAGTTTCTRCRTTTTGAGTTTGAAATCCATCTTKACYTTAGCTGAAAGTATAGAATTACCAAACATATTTAATGTTTTTTGAWGATCTCMCATTTTMAACTAAAAACYGGCTGACAAGTTGTGATGGTCTTCCTGGTTGTTTGTAGGTATGGCCAGTTAAGTGGTATGGTAGAACCAATAGCAGGCYTACTTGGTGCTTATGCTGTTATTGTAAGTAATCTTACTCTTCATTTTATTTGTTATTAAATTGCTTCTTATGTTGGATGGGGGAATGTTTGGCCCCATCGAATGACAAATRTTTTATGAAGATTTTTCTTAACGATGGGTTTTCATTGCSTTATGATACCAGGTCGCCGAGCCCATTCTACCCTATGCTCTKTCATTTGCGGCTGGTGCAATGGTGTATGTTGTAGTGGATGACATCATACCTGAAGCTCAAACATGGTAAGGCTATTTGTAAGTCCAAATTTGTGTAAATTCTCGCGTGCTGATTGGCTGATTCACACTGCTGACACAATGACATCAGGATAATTTTCGCACATTTTCTAGACTAAGTCTAAACACGTGGTAAAAAAACAAATCGCACCAGTTTTTTTTTTATATCTTCTTAATGACTGTAGCGAGTGGGTTCACTGCAAAGTTTTGAACATTTTATGACTTAAAGAATGAAGACATGCTACACAAAACCCTGCGCAATTTGTTAACCTACATATTGGAAGTTATCAAAAGGATATTGTACCCTCTGTTCAACAAGAGAACGAAACCAATATTGAAATGGAATTTGCAATTTCTGCCGCGCGACCATCGCCTGAGTTTTGACAATCGCAGRAGTTTTTACACGTACGATTTGATTTGCGCGATAGCAAAGTTACGATTGCCGCCCAACAATCGCGCTGCAAAAATCGTAAGTGTAATAACGTTCAACGTCGGTATTTTCTTAATTGGCGCTGAAAAAGGCTGATTTATAGAAATGGGACTTTTATAATAAAGGTACAATTTAAAATGGCTCGATGCAATCATGAGAAAAGGACAACTTTACTACAACTTCCAGAATGCCTTGCGTATTTTCTTTGATAGTTAGCCTGAGGTTTAATCCAGCGTTTACTTGTAAACAAAATAAACCAGATGTACGCAAGCTAGAGATTAGTAAAATAAAGAAAGTGGGCAAAATAATTGCCATTGTTTGTTTTATTTCAGTGGTAATGGAAAGCTAGCATCCTGGACAACAATCGTTGGCTTTATAGTGATGATGTCTTTAGACGTTGGTCTTGGTTGACTATGGTATCGCTACAAGTCTAGTCTGTTTTTATTATAGCTGTAATGGTATAGGGTGTACTCGGGTACTCAGCATCGTCATTACACAGTCAACATGACTGTCATTTCTAGCAATAACATTTCAACCCATGACATGGAATCCGGAGAGCTCATATAGAGTCCGGATTCCATGAAGAAAGATTTCGCAAGGATTCTGGATTTCACCATACTGGAATCAGAATTTAAAGCATCTTTTTTGTCGTTTACAATTAGGAAAAAATTGGAAAATTGAAAATTAAAAATGTTTTATCAAGCAGGGCTCTGCGAAGTGAGTGTTTTTCACTTCTTTCGTTTTCTGTCCTCTGCTCAACCCAATTGTATTGTTTTGGATTCACACCGCACAAACTGTTTGACTATCCGAGATTTGCAAAGCTCCTGCGCACGCCCTATCAGCCCCCCCCTATCATGTTTTGGTTTGTTCAGTCGTACCTTAGTATAATCGCATCAATGATAATTTCAAACCAATACAAATCACAGATGGCTTTTATTGTGTCAAAGTCTTAATACACTACTAAATGTCTAGTCCAGTAACACTACTGTCTAGTCCAGTTCTTTTCCCACTTTCTACAAATTTCTTTAGTTTTACAATCACAATTTGAAGTTTTGGACCAATAATTGACAAGGTATTCTCACTTATAAATATTTGTTATTATTACTAAAATAATATATCTGTATCAAGAAGCAACATAAAATGATAGCTTTTAGAAATGTATTTATTGATATCTTTGATATAGTTTTATTGTACTTTGTTATATTAAAATCCGATCTACAGGACGCCAAACCTTAATTTTCTAAACAAAGCTTCTATAAATCTGGATTCTGGTTTGGGTCAATTATATTAATAAAAGGTTGATTGATTTCGGCTTCCTGGTCTTCCTGTACTATATACATCTATATCACAAAGCATTGAATACTGAAGATAGTGTATTTCCAAGACTGAAATGCATTGTTGGCCGTTTAATCGCCGTTAAAAAAGAGCTGTTTTTGTTGTTTCAGAGTGTGTCAACCAGCTCCGTACAGTCAATAACTTGAATAGAAAGTAATTAAGTTTATATATAGTCAGTAACGCACCTAACGTGCACTAACATGCTTTGCGGTCTCTTGGAATGCACAAAGCACTAAAACAGTATTTAGTATTGAAGGTTTTAATAGCTGTATAGTTTACTTTAGAGAGCGCATGGTGTGTTATGGGAACAATAAATATGAAATCCGTTGAGTTTGAAATAAATTGTTGGGGTCTTTAGGCCGTTGAATAAAATCATTTGGTGTTTTTCGAACGCTGTTTTGTGTATCTGTTATCCCGTGTTTCCAGTAAAAGTTGCCATTTAATTACAGGTGCCTGGCATGAAGCATGAGAGTATTTCAGTAACTGGTCAATCTTGCAGGCTAATCAGTCAATTKAGAACCACAAATTTGATAGCTTAACGGGTTATCCACCGTCAACGTCACTTTTTATACGATAAATGTTGGAATGCGTGTTCAGTACAAAGAGATCCACCAATTTGATATCTTTACGGATTATCCAGCCATCTAGTTCATCTATATGGTAGAGTTCTCGGTCAAATGTGGAGGGCTTTACCCACAATGCATACGATTCCATCATAGAATTGTGGGTTTCACTATCCTTTTGCCACAATTGATGGTTAAGAACGATTTTTCTTCCTGCATAGCAGGCATATCTAAACAGTGCTAAATGATGTTCATAGCGTACCAGTTTCAGTTTGGTCGGACCGTATATCCCGTTCATAGAAGTGAGATCGCCAATGAGGCACGCATTGTGCTGTGGTATTATCAATGACTGTTCAATAGAAAATACAGCCTTCACATACCCCTTCATATTCCATATGACAGACGATTAATACACCAATCATACTGATGCTTTCGCAGATGAATACGAAAAGTTGTCATTTTTACAGCGATGTAGAGATAGACAAAGCTACTTGAATCACTGTACAGAACTGTTTGATTTACAATGCGAAAGTGTTTTTCTCTGTATGGTTGTTTATGTACAGGCGCGTTATTAGGGTTGGTTTGTACCTCTAGTCACAGTGGAGGAGTGTGAATGACCTGGTAGCGGTTCACCGTGCAGTTTATCATTCCGTCAAGAAGGTTAAAGTACAGGTGTTTGGTTAGGACTTGATTTGCTATGGAGCTGTCCGTTTCGTGATCGTATAGATACTTTTAAGTTGGTATTTCTCTGTAAAAGAGGCGAGCTTGAAGGAGTGGTGAATATGGTCATTATGGGAGGGGTTTCGCTTGGAGGTACTTGTACTCGAGGTATAGGTTTGTTATCATGCAGGCAGGTCATAGCGCTGATCAACCAGTATGTTTCAACATTACCTTTGCCCTGAAAGACAAACAATTATAATT